TAGTGAGACATTGTCTCAAAATAAAAAAGGCTGGGGATGTAGCTCAATGGTGAAGCACTCCTGGATTCAACCCCAGTACCAAAAAAAAAAAAAAAGACATCCTTGTCACCAATGGAGCCTGCTGTTTGCACTTTTGATAGCAAGAAACAAAATGGACCAAGTCCCCTTCCTTCAGGGAGCTTACATGGGCAAGAGATCCCCAGGGACAGAAGAGAAGATACATATGTCAGTGATAACGTGAGGCAGTGGTTCATGGTCTAGAGAAAAGCAGAGGAGCTGGGAGGCAGTACTTAAGGGGATACTTAAGATAGGGTGATCAGGAAGGGCGTCTCTAAGGAGGTGACATTTGAAGGGTCCTCAGTTATGTGAAAGAGTAAGTCAATCAAAATTCGGGGAAAAGCAAATCCAGAGGTTCTGGGAGGGGAGCCGGGCTTGGCTGGTCTGAGGAACCGTAACCCTAACCCTTACCCTAACCCTAACCCTAACCCTAATTCTAACCAGCGTGTGGCAGAGGACCCCAGGAGAGGGGCAGGTGCTCGGAGCCAGGGTCCCAGAGGTTGTGGAACACAGAGGGAAATTTGGGGGATCACGGGGGTAGGGGTTGAGAGCAAGGGCATGGAGTGATTTGTCTTGGGGCTGGAGAGAAAATCGGCTAAAGAGGCCATCAGAGCAGGGCTGGGCAGTGGGAACAAGAGAGGGAAGCAGGAAAAGAAGGGTCTGGGGTCCCCCTGGCAGCCGCACTGGGCCACTCAGCCCCCCTGGACTAGTTAGAGCAACTCCAGCTCCTGCTTCCCAGCATTGCAGCCCCCTCAGGGAAGGGAAGGATCCTTCACATCAAAATAGCAGGCAAAGAACAGCCTTGAATTGTTCTGCGTAAAAGCGAGAAATTAGAAGAGTCAGCTGTGGGCCCGCCGCCGCCCACGCAGCTGCCACCCGCACCGCCACCCGCACCCTGCTGGAGACCCACTTCCCCACGCTGCGATTCTGCTGTCTCCCAGCAAAACTTTTTACTTCTCCAGCCCTGAGCAAATAGCAGCTATTTTGAGAGGGAATGGGACAGATGCTGGCCCTGGAGGACAAGGAGCACGTCCATTTTTCTTTTTTAAACTCAAAAAAAAAAAAAATTAAAAAACCCAACCATCACTTGAAGGAACAGCTTTGGCAGATGGGAGTTTGTGCGGCAGTGAGTGTCCTCATCCTGGGCGGTATGAGGGACGCTCAAGGAGAGAGAGAGGCACAGAGACACACACTGTGGCATCACCCTTGCAGTAGAGTGGGGAAAGAGCATGGGAAGTCAGCCAAATTTTCAGGTTGGCTCTGCTGCTGTGTGACCTTAGGTGAGTTGTGCCACCTCTCTGGCCTTCAGTTTCCCTGTCACTAGTATGGGCTTATGGATGCACAATAATTCTCAAATGTTAGAGTTCTTAAGAATCCCTTGGGGTTGGGGTGTGCTTGTTAAAGATGGAGAATCCCAGGCCCCAGCTGTAGGTTAAGATGTAGCAGCCAGGCATGGTGGCATATGCCTGTAATCTCAGCAACTCAAGAGGCTGAGGCAGGAGGATAGTAAGTTTGAGGCTGGCCTGGGCAACTTATTAAGACCTAGCAGATCTGAGGTGGGTTTGAGAAATCTACATTTCTCATAGGCTTTTCTGGTAATTGTGAAGGGAGCCCTTGGACCCCACCTTAATAAAATTGCTTCCCTCAATCTCTCAGACTCTGGTATATGAGCCATGCTCATGAGTGTTGCTCTCACAGTGCACCCTTCTTTGGGTTCCTCTGAATTCCAGGGTCATGAAAGGAGTCCTGCCCCCTGCCTCAGTGCCTCTGTGTTCCTGTGATGAGTGCTGCTTTGGGACAGTCTCCTTCAGGCTACTCAGTGTCCAGCCAAGGCCCTGGTGCAGAAGGGACCATGGCTATAAATGTTGGCCAAACAAGGAACCAGCTGCAGTGCAGACACAGAGCACGGAGGATGTTGGGAATGCTGGGTGCAGAGTTTGGTTGCACACCTCTGGTTTGACATCTGGGTTTGTGTCCTGGGCAGGGTGTGTGACACTGTCAGCAACTCACCTTCCCCACACTCCTGGGGAAGTAAGGAGAGGCACTGAGGTTACTATACAGGGATGAGACCAGATGCATGGCCAAGGCAGGGCCAGGAGCCTTGGTCTACCATGGAGGACAGCCCAGAGGGCCCCAGACCGTCTGCCAGGCAGAGTCCCTTCCTCAGAGTTGGTCAATCATACTCCCCCAAATAGGCCAGCGGTGAGAGCTAGAGAGTCAGGTCATTCTGGTCAAGCCCAGCTTCATTCTGCATAGACAAAGAGTAATAACAATTATCCTCTCTGAGTGATTTATTTTTTGGTCAGGGGGAGTCTGGGGATTGAACTCAGGGACATTCGACCACTGAGCCACATCCCCACCCCTATTTTGAATTTTATTTAGAGACAGGGTCTCACTGAGTTGCTTAGCACCTTGCTTTTGCTGAGACTGGCTTTGAACTCACAGTCTTCCTGCCTCAGCCTCCGGAGCCACTGGAATTACAGGCGTGCACCACCGTGGTGGGGCAGAGTGATTTCTTATTTTTCTTCATTTCTTTCCTTTTTTGTGATGCTGGGGCTTGAACCCCAGGGCCTTGTACACCCCCAGCCTTGTCCTACATGTTTAGCAATCATAGGATTCAGGGCTAAGTTCTATATTATCCCATTAAATTTTTACAACAACCCTAATACTGCCCAACAAATAAAACAAACAAAAAAATATAACCATCCCAAGAGGCTGGTATAAGTATTATCCTCTTTTTAAATTAAGGACACTGAGGCTCAGACTGTTCAAGCTTCTGGCCCAGAGTTACTCAGTGGAGGCAGGATTAGAACCCCGATATGTTTTCCTCTGGAGCCAGTGTTTCCTTTAACCAAATTGCTTAGTACCTCACAGAAGATAAGAATTTTCCTAAAATACCTTCTGTCAAAGTCACCCACAGCAGAGAAGTCCTTTTTTGCATCTGTTGTAGTGTGAAGGAGTGATACCAAACCAGATGATTCAGGGTTCCAGTCCCACCCCTGCCCTGACCCTTTATGTGACCTTGAGCAAGTCACTTCACCTCCCTGAGTTTAATAAAAACTGAAATCTGTGACATGGGATGATTAACCATGCGCTTCCTCCTAAGGTACACTAAGTTGAAGACGGCCACCAACATCTACATCTTCAACCTGGCCTTGGCCGATGCGCTGGCCACCAGCACGCTGCCCTTCCAGAGTGCCAAGTACCTGATGGAGACGTGGCCCTTCGGGGAGCTGCTCTGCAAGGCTGTGCTCTCTATCGACTACTACAACATGTTCACCAGCATCTTCACTCTCACCATGATGAGCGTTGACCGCTACATCGCCGTCTGCCACCCGGTCAAGGCCCTGGACTTCCGCACACCTGCCAAGGCCAAGCTGATCAACATCTGCATCTGGGTCCTGGCCTCAGGTGTTGGTGTCCCCATCATGGTCATGGCTGTGACCCGACCCCGGGGTGAGTGAGGGAGGGAGCTGTGGCACAGGCCTCTGACTGTAGGAGACAGCATGTAGGCCCCTGTAGGTCTCCAGGGCAGCTACCAGGAAGAGTGGAGGTGGCTCACCAGTGGAGGAGTGGTTGGTGGAGCAAAGGAGGTGTGATGGCTGGCCAGTAGGAGGACAGAAGGTCCACCAGTGGGAGTGAAATTGTTGACCAAGGAGCAATGTGGGTGTTGAATATTATGAAGATGAATGACTGCTCAGGGCTCAAATAGATTGCTGGCCAAATTGGATTTTGCGGGGGGGACAGGGATACTGGGCATTGAACCCAAGAGTGCTTAACCACTGAGCCACATCCCCAGCCCTTTTTTTAAAAAAAAAATTTATTTTGAGACAGGGACTCCCTGAGTTGCTAGGGCCTCGTTAATTTGCTGAGGCTGGCTTCCTCTTCCCTCAGCCTCCCAAGCTGCTGGGATTACAGGCATGCCACCATGCCCAGTGCCAAATGGAATTTGGGATTGTGGATGGCTGGTCTACGTTCATGTAGGTGGCTGGCCAGGACTGTGTGGATGATTGACCTCTATGGAAATGGATGATGGCCAGTGGGGTGAAGTGTCATTGACCAATGAGCAGTGGAGGCTACAAGATTTGCAGTCCCATCCCAAACTCTCTTCTATCCCACTTTGAAAACTATTGGCCAGAGGACCAAAGTTAGGCCTAGAAAATGGCCCTAAGAGAATGATAGATGCTTTTCCTTAGAATAAAATGGGAATCACTTTAGTTACTAACTGAACTAGTTACTCTAGCTACTGTAACAGTCTGCAAAGCTCGGGGGCTTAACACTTCAGAAATTTATTTCTCATTCACATCACAATATACCATGAGTAAGAGGAGCACAGTTACTCAGAGATCCAGTCTCCCACCGATGGTTCCTGAATCTTCCTCTGCTGGCCTCAGGCTGGCAGATGAACATGGAGAAAGAGCAGGGAGAAAGCACAATCACTTTTCAGTGCTATGGCCCATGTCTTCCTGGTGATAGCTAGATGGTCACATGACCTTACCTTGATATAAGGAAGTGGGAAATGTAGTATTGAAGGGTGCCAAAGACATTAGTAACTAATTAACCTCTCTGAGCCACATTTATCACGGAGTGTGGAAAGGTTAAATGAGGTAATATGAAAAAAAAAAAACCAACCAAAAAACACTTAAGCGAAGGACTGGCTTATTGCCAAGGCCCAGTAAATAGCAGGTGTTAAATGATGAATGAAGCCTTTAGACAAGGCAGGGACTCCTACCTCCATTCAACCGGAAGACAACTTGGAGAGGTCAGATGGTTTACTTAGGGCTCGTTGGGTGGAACTTGGGCCACAACCCAAAGTTCCTGCACTCAGATCGGTTGCTCCTCTTGGCACTTTGGGTAGAGGTTTGCAGAGACTTGGTGCTGTGGGTGAAAGGGGAGCAGGCTTGATGGGAGTCTTGACAGTCATAAGACAGACACTCTGGTGCACATATAGCCTCTTAGTGATTGGTTTTAGCCGCAGGGCCCTATTCCTCACTGTTAGCCTTTAGTTCATAAGCCATTAACTACTGCCCTGCTTGGGGCTCCCTGCACACACACACACACACACACACACACACACTGGGTGTGCCATTAGCACTTTTGGGTTCTATGTGCCACTTCCTGTTTGATTTTAAACAAGTGCTGTTCCCTTCTGAGTTTGAACAATGAAGGTTGGACTCAGTCATCTGGGAGTCCAGGCAGCCTGATGTCCTGCAAACCACTTTGTGGGTCCCCAGTCCCTTTCTTATAACTCCTAATCTTCAAGTCTATTGTGTGGCTCCAAGAGATCTTGGGAGTCTCCTGGACCAGCCTCAAGCCTGCATCAGAATCCAAAATTCTAATGAAGCCCAGGCCCACACTCCAGGAACAGGGAGCTCCTTCCCTCCTTGGTCCCTTTCCTATCTTGGGCAGGTATGGCTGTCAGAAAATTGTTGTTTTTCTCTTTTTGTAGTACTGGGGACGGAACCCAGGGTTCCACATGGTAGGCGAGCACTTTACCACTGAGCTACAGCCCCAGCTTAGGAAGTTCTTCTTGACATTAGCTGGGATCTATCTCCCTCCAGGGAAGCTGGTTCTAGCCTTAGTCTGTGGGCTCCTGTATGTATTTACCCCTGGTCTCTGTGCTCTGTTTAAGCACTTGAACTCCACTGTGCTAAATGTCTTAAATCCCTTAGCCTATTTAATCCTCATGATAATCCTGCAAGTTACACTCTGCAGAAGCTTGAAGAGGGTAAGTAATTTGTCCAGGGTCACAGTGTACACAGTCAGGGCCTGATTCCAAGGCTTTTTTTTTTTTTTTTTTTTTTTAGGGGGAGGTACCAGGGATTGAACTCAGGGGCACTCGACCACTGCTGAGCCACATCCTCAGCCCTATTTTGTATTTTGCTTAGACACAGGGTCTCACTGAGTTGCTTTGGGCCTTGCTAAATTGCTGAGGCTGGGTTTGAACTCACAGATCCTCCTGTCTCAGCCTCCCAAGTTACTGGGATTACAGGCTCATTTTACAGGCACCGGGCTTGAGTCCTGCTCCTAACTCATGCTTCGTTAGTCAATCTTAGCATTACAGAACCACTGGAGCAAGTTTGGGAATGTGTGGGCTTTGTCACAGTGACTGGCAGAAGAATCACCTTGAGCAACCAGGAGGAGGTGGTGGCGCTTGACCAAGCCCAGAAGGTGCGACCAGCAGGCAGAGCCCCTGAGGTGCACAGACCCCTCACCGCCTCTTTGTCTCCCCTTGTTTCCCCAACGCAGATGGGGCGGTGGTATGCATGCTCCAGTTTCCCAGCCCCAGCTGGTACTGGGACACGGTGACCAAGATCTGCGTGTTCCTCTTCGCCTTCGTGGTGCCCATCCTCATCATCACAGTGTGCTACGGCCTCATGCTGCTGCGCTTGCGCAGCGTGCGCCTCCTGTCAGGCTCCAAGGAGAAGGACCGCAGCCTGCGGCGCATCACGCGTATGGTGCTGGTGGTGGTGGGCGCCTTCGTGGTGTGCTGGGCGCCCATCCATATCTTCGTCATCGTATGGACGCTGGTGGACATCGACCGGCGCGATCCACTAGTGGTGGCCGCTCTGCACCTGTGCATCGCGCTGGGCTACGCCAACAGCAGCCTCAACCCCGTGCTCTACGCCTTCCTGGACGAGAACTTCAAGCGCTGCTTCCGCCAACTCTGCCGCACGCCCTGCTGCCGCCCGGAGCCAGCCAGCTTCAGCCGCGCCCGGGAAGCCACCGCCCGCGAGCGTGTCACCGCTTGCACCCAATCGGTCGGCCCGGGTGGTGGCGCTGCCGCCTGACCAGTCCTGGCTGGCCCCCGCGCGCTCCTCCGAAATGACCCGGCGGTCACACTGAGCCCCCTGGGAAGCGGGGACCACTATTCGAAATGGGGCAGTAGAAGGTCGGATTCTGTTTTGGAGAAGAGCATGGGACTTGAGGCCATCCAGCGGCCGTGAGGTGGAGCCTGTGCAGTGGGGTGGGCCTCGGCGCTGGTGCAAGGTGGAAGGCTCCAGATTGGGACTGAGGGGCGGGGCCTGCAGCTCTAGAACCGAGCCCCTTAATAAGGCCTCTCCAGCGGGGTGGAGAGTTGGGGACAACCTCTAATTCTATCTCACCCCGAGTGGGACTTCTATTGGGTTCTGCCCTGAGACCTGAGGATTCTGGGCCCAGGATCCAGTGGTGGGGACAGGGGCTTGAGTTGTAAGATTGGGCATGTGCACCGTGTAGAGGATCCTCTCCCAGGAGGAGATGGGGGTACCACAGAGTGAGGCGGGATGCTGCTGGAGAATCGGTCACGAGATAGGAGGGCCTGTATGCACTATCTGGAACCTCAAATTTTGGGTGGAGTGCCACCCCTGTTCTAGCAAGGGACAGGACTCCTTGAGGTCTTCGTTCAACTTTACTTCTTTATAGATAAAGAAAATACAAGACAAACAGAAGGAAAGAGAGAAATAATGTACTTTCTCTCTTGGACATTCATTTCCAGGGAGTGGTTCAGAGATCCAGCTCCACAATTGACCTAGTGGCCACAACACCAACTTCCAGTGGGGTTTTGGGACAGGATGGTGGAGCCGGGCTAGCTGTTCTATCAAAGACGACTGAAACGGGGCCTTGGTTGGGACAGGGTCCCCAGGGCCCTAAAGCTCAGGGAAAAGCAAGAAGGGCTGGGTGCTGCACCCAGCTTCAGTGGACCTCTGTGCCAAGGGGCAGCAGTGGGTGGGCTGAGACAGAGAGGTAAGGCTTCTGCTGTGAAATTAGTCCCTCAAGGTTGAAGGTGGATGTTTTACAGAGACCCCAGGGTCCTGGCATTTGTGGCCCAGTACTAGAACACAGAGGGCCATCTAATGATAGCTCCATGCATGGTGAGTGCACTGGAACTGGGCTGGGGGTTGCCAGAAGAACAAGTACAGATGCTTGGAATTCTGATAAGCACCCCAATATTCTTTCCCCTTCTCCCAGCATCTGGCTGTGACCCAGGTATCTGGTGCCAGTGACTAGTGAACTGGAACTGCCCACATGGGGCCTGACTTGGAAGGAACTGGGGGAAAGTGCCTTTCGTAACTGCAATGCTAGTGTTGGCCATGATCCTCTCTCCTTTTGCCCAAAGGATCCAAGGTCCCTGACCTAATTCAATTCACCCAGCTCCCCCTTCAAGCTACTGAGGGTAGGGTTCACCTAAAGATGGTCATAGGAATCTGTTCAGATATCCCAGATCTTTGCTTCCCTTCTCCCCAGGCAGGGTCTGTCTTTGCTACCCATCCTCTGGGCCTCCTCTTCCCCCGCCCCCCAGACACTGTCTGACTGCCTCAGCAACGCACCCCTGACTCCCTATTGAAGCAGCCTGGTGACATCCTTGTAAAAACAAATTTAATTTTCTTCCTTTTTTGGGACAGATGGAAAGAAATTGACGTCTTTGTCTCAAACAAAAAAAGAAAAGAGAAAGAAACAATATACCTCTTTCCCCTTTGACAGCCATTTCTTTGGAACAAAGGCTGGAGGCTGTCACTCTGGCAGGCACTGAAGTAGCATTCGGGGGAGAGGGTTGGGCACCAAGAAGGGCTTCGTGCACTTTGTGCACAGGGGTAAGAGTCCCTTCAGTGGTCAAAGTGCAGCCCTTCTTAGGGTGAAGAAGCCTTGGACCTGGAGATATTCTTCCTCTAGGAAATAGATCCCCTGGGACCTAGGATGCAAGGCAGTGGTCACCACTCAGATCAGCCTGCTAAGCCACCATGACCTGGGGTCTCAAGCCTCCTAGCTCACCTCACCAACTGAATGGACCCTGTGACCATAGAGATTTCCATTTGAATGTGTAGGGGATGTGTGAATGGGGGTGATCAGCAAGGCAGGGGCACCTGGATACTCCTAATCATTTGGGAATCTCCTACTTTGGGGAGATGGCAGAGAAAGGGGACAATTCAGGAATTAGGGAAGACTCCTGAATTAGATGACAGAGAAGTCAGGGCTGTTTATTTATCTTGCAAGGACTGTGTCTTCTCTGCCCCCACTCAGAAGAGGCCTGTCTCAAAGCTGCTTCAAGCCCACTCACTGCCACCCCCTGTGGGTATAACAGATCTGGTTGCTTTTTATCTCTTTGATATAAAATTGTTCTAGGTCAGCAGAGGCTGACCCAGACTGTGTGCATTTAAGGAAATGTACACTTGTGTTGAAATCTACTTCCTGCTAGGCTGTGCGCCCTGGGCACTGGGACAGGGAAATGTCGGGCTTGACTCTGCCCTCAGAAATCTCAGAGCCAATGCTGGGAGACAAAGCATAAACAGGTAGTTGCATGTCAGTGATAAGTGCAGCGGCAGGGATCCCCAGGGATGGCATCGCAGGAAGTGTCTTTTTAGCTTTTTACTAAAAACACTTGTTTGAAACAATTCTATAAGAGCTTAGAAGGTGTCAAGGGACCCTAAAGGATGAGTAGGAGCTGGTCACCAAGAAGAGGGAACAGTGAGTGCAAAAGCATGGGGCCAGGCATGGTGGCACACATCTGTAATCCCAGCAGCTCAGGGGGCTGAGGCAGGAGGATCACAAGTTCAAAGGCAGCCTCAGCAAAAGTGAGGCCCTAAGCAACTCAGTGAGACCCTGTCTCTAAATAAAATACAAAATAGGGCTGGGGATGTGGCTCAGTGGTTGAGGGACCCTGAGTTCAATCCCTGGTACCAAAGGGGGAGGGGGGGAAGCACAGGGATGTTCAAGTGCTTGGCAAACCCAAGAAGTTCGGTGCAGCAGGAGCACAGGACTTGACTGAGCACGTCCGAGTGCCAGGCTCACTGCCAAATGCTTTATGCACTTTATCCCAGCTGGTCCTTGTGACTGTCCATTCGGGGAAGTAGTATTATTCCTCTTTTAGATAAGAAAGCCAAGGCTCAAAGAGATCGAGCCACTTGCTCCTGAGTCACGGGGCCTGTTAACAGCTGCAGAACTCAGGTCAGTGGAATTCCAAGAAAAGTTCCAGGGTCCAAGTTTGCAATTAATTCCAGGCATCATTAAAATAGAAAGACATTGGGAGCTGGAACCCTGGGATGGGGTTTTTGAAGACTTGAAACAAAATGGGAAAACCTGAAGGAAAAGGGCAAATTTTCATGAACTTTTGTTCCTCCTGAAGCTCTCTAAATCTTCACATTTCAAAATGTACCGTGTGTGATACATTCTAAAGCTCCAAATTGACAGTGTAATTCTAGATCATCACAGGGTTCTGAAAACTGCAGAGTAGGTCTCTACCCCCCTAATTTTCCATTGCTCATTCTCTAGGAGATGGAAGGGAAGCTTTTGCTCCTGGTTTAAAAATGTCCTATAGTTGGCTGGACGTGGAGGCACATGCCTGTAATCCCAGTGACTTGGGAGGCTGAGGGAGGTGGATTTGCAATTTTGATACCAGCCTCTGCAACTTAGCAGGACCCTGTCTCAAAATTAAAATAAAAAAGGGGGACCTGAGGGGGTATAGATTAGTGTTAAAACACACCTGCGTTCAACCCCCAGTACCAATAAATAAAAATGTCCTACAGTTTCATGTCTCTTCTTGTTGTAAAAAAAGTAGTGGTTAAGGCTGGAATCAGGTCTTGACTTTCCCTTTATGAGCCTTAGTTTCCTCATCTGTAGAGTGGGCTTCCTTCCAGTGGTGGTTGTGAGGATTTAATGAGATAATGCATGTACAGGTGTAACCATAGGGTCCATCACATAAGGATGCTCTTAGCACAATAAGTAACTGGAGCTGAAATGCAAGGTCAGAGCTAAAGCTCCCCAGGGAAAGTGGATGGGCTTTCAGGGGTAGCAATGAAAAGAGAGAAGAGACTGGTGTCCTGGCATGGGGATCCCCACTCTTCCTAGGCTCAGGAGCCACCATGGAGAGTGAAAAGCTGCTGGAGAAGCAGGAGGAGGATGGGGAAATACGCTGCCATGGAAACTGGAGGAGGAAGGCGTTCCCAGGGGGAGGGAGTGATGGATAATGTCAAGTGTCATTCGAGAGGCTGGGGGTGGGGAGGGCAGAGGATAATAGGAGTAAACCAGAGCCCTCGAGTTCACTCTCCTACATGGCCAGGAAGCCTCAGAACCTGGCTTCAAGTCTCAGCCCTGAAGCTAAATGTCTGTGTGAGCTAGGCAGAGGATTTGCCCTCTCTGTGCTTCTGTTTCCTCCTGGATCTAAGACAAGGGATGGGTCAGTGTGTAATAGATGGTCCATCTCTAATAAGATTTCAGGTTTTGCTGAATGGTTGGCCACTCACTGGCAGTGCGATCTTACACAAGTCACCACACCTCTCCAAGTCCCCTCTGAAAGCTGAGATATTGCAAGCCAAGTATGTACCAAAGTGCCTGGCACATGATAGGTCCCCAATGCAGGGAGGTTCTCTAATAATTATGTGGGTGCCAGAGGCAATTGTTACAAGGTTTATTTGGTTTGGAATTTGAAATGCCTGAAGGCAGAGGGGGCTCATCAGCCTCTGGAGAGTTCTTGAAGCAGCAAGAGTCCAGGCTGGGCACCTGCTGGGTATCTACTCGGTCTCAGTCCAAAGACCAGCCCTCGTTCTCTGTATCAGTGTCAGGTCTCAAGTCTAGAGCCTACCAACTGCTGCAGATTTGGACTAGGAACCAGCCTCAGAGACTCCAAAGCCCCTAGGAAGTGATACCACCCTATTCCTGGCTCCATATACCTACTCAAATATAAGACATATACACACAGCTTTCTTTCATTGTTTATTTATTTGTTATTCACTTCCAGGCATCAAGCAGTAGTGCTAGGAGCTGGAAGGGGTGATAGAAAAGAGTGAGGACCTCGTTCCCTACTCTGAACTTGCGGATGGGGGTCAGGAGACCAGGACAGCTGGGTGGGGCTCTGGCTGCAGGCAGCTTGGGGACTCAAAACCAGAGTTTACAGAGGGGCTGGTAAAACCCTTCAAAATGCACATACGGATGCTGTAGAGTGCAGAGCTGGGAGGTGGCCCAGGGTCTAGCTCCAGTACCATCACCGGGGTTGAGCCCTACCTGATGCACAGTCTTTTCCAGAGTGCAAATCACCTTTACACACGCCACCTCAGTGAAAGGCTGTTGGGATGCTACAGTAGATGACAGACACACTTAACTGTGCTCAGCTACATAGAGCAACTCATTAATGATCCCAGCCTGATTCGAGGTAGACGTTATTATTGTTTTTTTTTTTTTAAAGAGAGAGTGAGAGAGGAGAGAGAGTGAGAGAGAGAGAGAGAGAGAGAATTTTTAATATTTATTTTTTTTAGTTCTCGGCGGACACAACATCTTTGTTGGTATGTGGTGCTGAGGATGGAACCCGGGCCGCACGCATGCCAGGCGAGCGCGCTACCGCTTGAGCCACATCCCCAGCCCCGTTATTATTGTTATTACCTCCACTTCACAGATGAGGAAACTGAAGCTCAGGGGAGGGGATGGCTTGCCAAGGCCACATGGCTTGTCAGTGATTCCCCCGCTCTCCTCCTTCAGCCTCCCAAGAGGAATCACTCAGTGATGACACAGAAGCTCCCTGCAATTCTCACTTCCGGTCATGGACAGAGCATTCCCCATGCCGGGTTCTATGGCTCAGTACCTTGGCAGCACATACTGCCCCATCACCTCCTCTGCCCATGCCAGCTGCCCCCAGAATAGCCCCATCCATCCCTCCCTGTCTTGGAAGCCCGATGTGTTCTGTCATTATCTATATATTTTTTCAACTGCCTGCCATGTCTTTGCTGTGAGATGTCTTGAGCAAGCATTTCACTCTGAGCCCATTTCCTCCATCATGGAAGCTAACACGTACCTGGCAAGAAGTTGGCAAGATTTAGATAGAGGCTGAAAGTGAAGGGCCTGTCTGCTTTGGTCATAAAACTTTCCAGCAAATGCAAACAGGTCCATCGTAAGTGACTCTACCGAGTGGATGAATGGTGAGCCTGGTGCGTGGAGAAGGCTCAACGGATGGAACTTTTTTTAAAAAAGTCTAGTGTTTCAAGTTTTACCTGCTCCAATCCGTATTTCTTAATGCCATAGGTGGGAGCAAAAGACCTTTTGTAACCATCTCCTTGAGTTTCAGAAGGAGGGACAGCCTACGCGCAAGAAGCAATTTTCAAGTGTGTTTTCTTACCAGTTCCTTGTAGGTAATGGTCCTATTTAGTCCCTCTCAGGGACCCAACAGTGAGAGAAATCCTGGAAGGGAAGAGGACTTTCTGGTGGCCCTGGCCTGGGATTTTTGGCCTGAATATTTGAATCATGGAGATGGAGTCCCTTGGTGGGTATCAGTGAAAATGACACTGGGAGTCATCTTCTAGAATCTCCTCTTAGAATGAATCATAAGATAAGAGGACAATTGGTTTTGACTCTTTGTTCTCCATTCTCTGCTCTGTGATGTTGGGTAGGCTTCCGTCTTCTCTGGGCCTCTGCACACTTGAGAGGCAGAGGTGGGAGTGGATAGATTCTGAGGACTCTGCCCATCTGAAAGAGAACTGAGGTCTCTCCCTCATGTTCCTTGATCTCAGAAGGACATCTCTTGGTAAATCCACTGGACATTTGTCCAGAGACAGAGAGAACCACGCCTGGCAGGCTGATGTTTGTGATTGTCTCTTGGGGGCTGAAGGAAGCTTGCTTCCCACCTCACCTTTGGCCCACTCCACGTCCCATCTTGGTATCGGGACCCAAACTTTTGATTTCCCAAATAAAGCAAGCGCTGTTATCAGTGTCTACATTTCTGCGTGCTTCTTTCGTTTACCTTCTGTGGCCCCATCAGGAGGGGGCCCCAGGCTGGCGAGGTGACAGACCTGCCTGCTCACAGTGGAGGAAGCCCGAGCTCAGGACCTGCCCCAGGAAGATGCAGCCTGGTTCTGAAGACCTGCTCTAGTGGTGTGGTGGTGCACACCTGTAATCCCAGGGCTTGGGAGGCTGAGGCAGGAGGATCACAGGTTCAAAGCCAGCCTCAGCAATGGTGAGGCACTAAGCAACTCAGTGAGACCCTGTCTCTAAATAAAATACAAAACAGGGCTGGGGGTGTGGCTCTGTGGCCAAGTGCCCCTGAGTTCAATCTCCAGAAAAAAAAAAAAAAAAAAAAAAAAAAAAAACCTGGTCTAAAGGGACAGACAGCTGCCATGATGCCCGAGAGCCTGTGTCAGGCCACCCAGGCCTTGCTACTCCCCAGCCCGCCCCTACCTTCCACATGCCTCCTCCTTTTCCCTGCTCCCCCATCTAGTCCCTTTCCCTCCACTCCCAGCTGACATGTCTCTGAGGCTCCCTCTAACTTCCTCTTCCCTCTCCAGCCTCCACCTCCCTTCTCTCCCCCTGCTCCTCAGTGACCCTGCCTTTGGCCATAGAGTCCCCCGTGCATTGAGGGAATTAGAGATCTTCTCCACTCCCTTGGCGTTCTTGAATACTTGCTGCTGCTGATGGTTAGGAGGTAACACTGCCTGACCCGGGTATGCCTCCCTAGCAGCCCCCCAGGGCCTGGCCCCCCTGCCATCTGGAGAAGCTTCCCCTCAGAGACCCAGCCTTAGGGAAGGCCTGCCAGGGCTGCCCACCCAGGGCTGCCTGACTCAAGGTGCTGGGCACCACGCTGCAGTGCAGACTGTGGCAGGGGCACTGCAGGGCCACCAGGCTGCCCAGGTTGGGCTGGGTGCTGTTTGGTCTCACCCCAGTTAGAAGGGAGCGTAGATCAAGAGGATGTCCTGGAGGCCTGGCAGCCCTTCCCAGAGCAGCTCCCACTAAGGCTGGGAAGGATGGTCCTGAAGATGAGTGTGAGAGTGTGAGAGTGTGTGTGTGTGTGTGTGTGTGTGTGTGTGTGTGCGTGTGTACAGCACATGTGAGAATATCCACTGTTCCTGCAAGTGTGCGTGTAGAATGCTTTTTTAAAAATTTATTCACCTTTGTGTGTTTCCTGAGGAAAACACACTCTGGGCCTCACTGTGCCCTTCTGTAAAATGGGATAAATAATTATTATAACTAGGACTCTTCTGAGACAACTGCTGTGCATGATAACCAGGGTGCAGTATTATTAATAGGGAAAACACATTCTGCCTTTAATCTTCAATAGCTCCCACTTGCCTGGAAAATCCAGATGACCTCTCAGGCCCCTTTCCACTGGGAGATTCTAGGAATCTAATTTCGGACTTGCCTGCTTGAAACCTCAATCTCCCTGAAGGGATGAGGGGACCCACTATAGGAAGAGCACTGTCAAAGCCCAGCTCAAGAGGGCACTTCTCAGAAAAGTGGAGTGGGAAGGGTAGATTCCTGTCCTGTGCCAGCATGATTACCCTTTGAGGTCAACTGCCTCCAGGAAGACTTCTCTGATTGCTCCAGCTGCACCATTGGATATCTACTTGGATCTTCTACAGTTGCTATCAGGAATCTCCTCCTCACCCCCTGACCAAGACCTGCTCTTTCTCAGTAGGCTACTGAGAGCATCACCATCACCAGGCATGTGGAACCCTGCTGCTGCCGAGGGGAAAGGGAAAGATCAGTGGAAAGGAACATTGGGTTTTTTTCTTCAATAACATTTTTTTGGGTTTCTTGGTCTCATATTAA